ACTTAAATATTAAATATTTCATTTAAAATATCTATGATTTTACTAAAAAAAACAATGTCATATAAATATCTTACTAATTGATACAAAGAGTAATTTAATGGTGTTAAAAATATAATTTATAAAATCATTGAATTAACATGAACCAGTTGAGGGGGAAATCGTTGTTCTCCTTCTCGCTTCTTGTTGATTGAAACAATAACATGTTTTCTTTTCTTTTCTGTTTTAATTTGCATATTTTAATATTTAATTTATTAAAAATTAAATTTTATTATTTATTTTGTTTTTTTATATAAGGTTATTATAACCTTAAAAAAACATCACGGCATGGAGATGATGCTCCATTTTACGATTTTTTATTTTTTTATCATATTATTAAATAAAAAAATAATTTTGAAAAAAACACAATTATTATGAATTGGACTTCATTATTTATTTTAATTTATTTTTGTATGGGTTATTGTGATCTTAGAAAAACATATTAATATTGGGTTGATGCTTGATTTTTTTAGTATATTTGTTTATCATATTATTATATAAAAATTGATTCATAAAAAAACTAAGAGATGCATTGTTTCAAAATCTAGATTGACTCGACAAGTTGACTCAGAATTTAGTCATCCCTAAACCTAGAATGGTCTAGTTTAAAGAGAAAGAAAAGGAAAAAAACCTGGATAGACTCGGTGACCCGATCAACTCGAATTTAATTCGGTCGAAACCCAACCATCTACATGTTAATTTTTTTGAACAAAATGATTTAGTTTTGATTTTTTATTCTTTTTTTAAATATTTTTTTTATTGTTAGCCCAAGTTAACTCTCTTAAGGCATAACTAAAATCTTATTTTAGATTAACTATTGAATCGAGTTTTAAAACTATGGTGAGAAGAAAGGAGAAGAGAGGAGAAAAGGCATATTTAGGAAATTATATTAGTAAGAAATATATGGCATGGGTTTTTTTACTATAGCAGTAGACATAGTGTATTGTGGATTGATAAATTATATTACATTTTCCCCCTTGAGTGGAACAAAAGAAAGCCTTAAGGGTGAGGTTATGATGCTAACATTGTGATTACGTGGTCATAAAACTTACAATAAGATTGATAATGAATTCTAGAAAACCTAAATAATTCTAATAAAAGTGTGACATAATATAAACTTGTCTCAAGACACCATCACTAATGGAATAAGAATCTTCACCCTATGAATATCAATTCATAAAAGAAAGATACCATAAAGACAATTAATCTTCAATAAGTCAATTTAGTTTGTTAAAGAATAAAAAAATACAAGAATCTTTCTCATACAATCTAAATAAATTCATCAGAAATAGTATTATAAAGTCCTAATATTTTGTCATTGAAAAGAGTATTTATACTCTTGAAAATAAAAACTCTAATGGATCTACCTTTATGGATTAAATTGATTCATTTACAAAACTAACCCAAAATCTATACTAATAAACCCAAATATATGGACCCAAATAAGCTCTAGGCCAATACTAATAAACCCAAATATATAGGCTTAAACAAGTCTTAAGCTACAATTGAGAACTACTTATTAATTAAAGTTCAAACAAGCTTTTATTAATAAACCAAAATATATGGACCCAAAGAAGCCTTAGACCGCAGTTAAGAACTAATTAATCAAACTCAAACAAACCTTTGGCCTTAGCTAATTAATCAAACCTAAGCCTAGTATGAAGTAAGCCCGTTAGAAACAATGGCAAGGTTGTTAGCCCTATTAGATAACCCAAATAGAAGTTATAACAAAAAAAAAAGAACTTATAAGAATAAATTATTTTTATTGTTGTGAGAGAAGAAGAAAATAAAACAAAATAAATATGAAAACAAAGCTTTATATAAATCCTTGTTGTTATCACTATTGTCCTTAAAAATAAGAAAAACTTGTCACTCCTTACTTTCTTATTTTGGAGTAGAAGTTGTTGCCACTTTGTTTCCTCTTCAAGCATAGATTCCTTTAAATAACTTTTTATTATCTTCCTTTTGAATAAGAAAGTCCTATAAAAAAAAATTAACAATAAAAGAATCACAAGCTTTCTTGTCACAATATACATTCAATAAAGGATATGGAATCCTTACAAAATATTGATAATAATTGTTGTCATAAATGTCTTATTGTTTAACATAGAATTCATGTAGAATATGTAAGTCGATAACTTCCACTTATACTTTGATTAGTACTTAAAAGTGCAATTTTATCAAGGTTTTATATCATTATTTTGCACTTGAAGTATTAATAACTCCTTAACTAAAACATATTTTATAATAACATATCTAATAATATAAGATACCTTTAATTTATGGTAAATGTTCATATTAAATGTAGGCCTATTACATAAATGAAAGGATTGATTAATGAGTTTAAGTACTGAAATTGAAAGG